TCAATCTGCATCCAAGGACCGCTGTATTATCGCTCCTGCCCCTTGGTACATTCCTTAAACTGAAAATAACCCTTAAATTTCTTCAACAAAAAAATTTGCCAATCACAAGAATCACAAAATTTAGTAAGATCTGTTTGAAATTTTAAATGAATTTTGGAAAGTAATAGTCTTCCTTCTTAAGTAACATGTTACTTTTAAATAAATATTGCCACTCCTCAGAAAACTTCATTAACTAGTAATTTATCAACACAACAACTTTATGAAACATTGTTGAAATATTTTTCAAAGGGATGGCCCAGCTGTGGCCAGAAACAGTAACACTGAAAAGTTCTACAATGAATCCTTTTTTAAATTTAACATTCCTATGTTTTAAATGCAGACACAATGAGCAGATGTTTCCATGAATAACTAAGTATCTGCTACTCTACCTTATACACAATGTTGTCAAAGCTATCAACTAAGGGGCTGGAGCGATCTCACAGCGGGTAGGGCATTTGCCTTGCACGCAGTCAACATGGCCGACCCAGGTTCGATTCCCAGCATCCCATATGGTCCCCTGAGCACCGCCAGGAGTAACTCCTGAGTGCAAAGCCAGTAGTAACCCCTGTGCATGGCCAGGTGTGACCCAAAAAGCAAAAAAAAAAGCTATCAACTAGGTATGCAAAACTATTGCAGAGAATGAGAGGCAGTGACTAATCAGTACTTCAAATAACATGGTAGATTCTTTGTTAGATACAAGAAAAACTCTCCTTTAAAGATAAATGTGAAGACTGAAGGAAAAAGAACTTACCAACTTAACAGCCTCCTGAGCCGCTTCTTTTGTACAAAAAGTGACGAAGGCATAACCTCTATTGAGACCAGTGAGTGGATCCATCATTAGACGAAGATCCCATATAGGTCCAGCTTTCTCAAATAGTGGAACAAGTTCATCCTCAAATAGATCTCTTGGGATCTTTCCCACAAATATCTGTAAATTAAACATGAAGTAAAACCATGGAGTTTCTTTAGGATACCAGATTACTGTGCATTTACGACAAAAGGTACAAGTTTTTAGTTTCTTTACCTCAGTGCCAACAGAAGGCTGCTGACCTGAATAAACGGAATCTGGAGGCGGTCCCCCATATTTCCTCTGTCCAGTAGTGACATCAAGTGTGTAGCCTGTTCTTTCCAAGAGTGCCTTGAAGAGTTCAAATGTCATTAAAGCATTTAATTCATAAGACCACACGCATCAGTTAGCAGTTAAAAATTACTCTTGATGCCAGAGCGACGGAACAGGGGTAGGGCACTTGCTTTGCACTCTGCAAACCTGGGCATCCCAAACAGCTTCCCTAGCTAACCAGGAGTGATTCCAGAGAGCAGAGCCAGAAATTCTCAGCACTACTGGGTGTGGTCCATAACCCAAACAAAAAGATATCTTGTTAAAATCTTTCCATTCACCTTAGAATTTCTGGTGTCTCTACTTCCCCTTTAATATTAATTTATAATTGCCCTGATTTGTAATCCAAATTTCAGAATACTGTTCAAATTTTCCAGTTAATCACTGAGTAGTACTTCGTAAACAAAAAAATTAAAATTGTCAACATTTCAAGGCAGGATACAGCTATTCCACTAATAGCTCCCAAAAGCACCTAATTCAGCTAACTTTAATTCTCTCCTTAATTCTCCTCTTTAAAAGGAAATGGGCAAGATATTCTTATTGTTTCCCAAGTCTAAATTTCTTACCCAATGAATTAACTTCCTATAACAGCTACACCCCTTCCAATACAACCACCCATTGGAGGATTTTCACCAATTCTCTCTCTCTCTCTCTCTCTCTCTCTCTCTCTCTCTCTCTCTCACACACACACACACACATACACACACACACACACTTCAAGTTCATGAACCTACAGTGGGAGAAATAAAAGAGCACTTGGTTTGACATACAAGCACCATGTTTCACTGGACCCACATTAAAAACTGAATTGGGGTCGGAGCAACAGTACAGCAGGCAAGCATCTGCCTTACATGTAGCCAGCCCAAACTCAATAGAGTACCCCATATGGTCCCCCAAGTGTGCCAGAAATGATCTTTGAGCAGAGTCAAGCACTGAACACCACCAGGCATGGCCCAAAAACAAAAGCAAAAAAAAAAAAAAAAAACCCTATAAATTTTAAGAAGTCTTTGGCTACTCTTCCTAATGTTTAAGCATGCAACACTGGTTTAGTAACAAAAATATAAACTCAAATGTAGGTCCAAAGAGCTAGCTCAAGGAGCTGGAGTGCATGCTTTGCATACTGAAGTCTCAGTTTGGTCCCTGGCACCAGAGTTCCACAAGGCAGCCTGGGGGGTGGAGGGCCAAGATGAAGCAGGGAACAGCCCTAGCAGCACTAGATCCAAAAGCAAAACAAAAAAACCTCAAACCTATTATTACACAGATACTAAGCCATTAAATGGACCATGCAGCTTCTTTCCCATATGTAACCCAGTGCTAGTTACTTTCACCTTAATATTAATGTGACCTAATAAATAACTCCACCTTTTATGTCAATCCCTAAAATAAAAAGGAAATAGATTCTTATCCTACAGATATGTGCCTCTTTTTGCCACAATCTAGTCACAATAAAGCTTGAGTTACTCCCAAAGATAAAACAGTCACAAAACTTTAGAATAAGTTTCTTACAAAATTTTAATAATTTTAACCATAAACTTTCAGATTTTAGTTAATTCTGGCAACAAATGTAAATTACAACTGATACAATTACAATGATTACCATACAAACAACTGTACAGATTACATCTGCCTCCCCATCTGGCCTCTGCCTCTTCCTGTACAACTAAAGCATTACCCAACACCTTTCCACCGCTGTTTCAAGAGTACGACACTCATATTAAGAGCACCAAGATAAACTATTTCACCATATGATTTTCTATGCACTAAAAATTCATATACCATGAAGATCAAAAACGAGTGGGAACCAGGGAAATGGCTCAAAGGTCTGAAACACATACCAAGCAAGTAGAAAGCCCAGATTCAACCCCAACCATGGACCACATGGTCCCAGAGGATTAAGCCAAGTGTTAAGTCTGATGCTATTCACTATAGGACCTTTAAAAAACAGAATTAAAAAAGATCTTCATTCCCAGACTGTCTCCTCATGTACACCTCTGCTCTAATTCATTTTATTTTTAAAAGCTTTTAAATATGAACAAATTAAGCAATTTGTTGAACTTTTAAAGGCTTAAAAAATCGCAGAAACCACTTGCTAAATAAATGCACACACTCCACACGAATGAGGCAGACTGATCAGGCATCCCTTTTTGATTCCAGTCTTAACCTGAACTAGTTTATCTAAAAGGATTTATCAAAACTACTTTTTATATCAACGGCATAGATTCAAACATCAGAAGCCAGGTAACAAGAAAAATAGCAAGCTGTTTTAAAAATAATCAAGTCAGAAATGTCTCAAAAACGTGATTCAAGATGACTTAAAATTAAAATTATTACCTCAGTAATTTTAACTATCAGTATCTAAAACACAATCAAAAAAGGGGCGGGAGCACAGTGGAACAGTGGATACAGTTCTTGCTTTGCATGCAGCCCACCCAAGTTCAATCCCCCTATCCCCTACGCCTCCCCACAACAACACTTCCAGAAGGAGCAGTCCCTGAGCATTTGCTGGGTGTGTTTTGAACACTTAAAACACAGTCATAATAGAAGAACCAACCGACCGCCCCCCCACCATTTCACAGCCAAGGAACATTTACCAAAACTAGATCATTAAAGAAATGACTTTTTGAAAAAAAAATCCTAACTGCAGAGTTTTCAAAAAGAAAAAGACCTACCTTAATTTTCGCCTCATCTGGTCCTTTGCTAGAATCTGCTACTTTGGTCCCCTGTTTTTCTCTCTGCCTGTAAGTCTTCATGACTCCACATAAAAAGGCACTTTTGTTCTGCAAAGAATTTTCCAACAGTATTTAATAATCACATATGTCAAATTTCAACATAAAACCATGTTATTCTTTTTTATACGGACACTGGCTTTACAGTTACCTGAACATGAGAGAGATCACTGTCTTTAAACTGCTGAAGAACTGCCAGTGCGCCGTCCTCATTGAATTCTTTTAAAGCTTCTATAGCTCTTTCATCTAAATCACTATGTGCAACCAGCCCTGGAGAAGAGGAAACTTAAATTAGTTATCACCTTTCACCGTTTTCGCAAAGTTCTGCTTCGAAAAACCCACGTTCTGACAATTCATGGGCCACTGAAAATTCTTCCATCCACCTTTATCATCTATATAATGGAAAACACACATACTTTAGCCATTCTGAACTGCATCCTGAAGCTAAAAAAAGCCTCTTAGCCACACTTAAATAAGGAATCAACTTCTCCTCGAGCTTGTTCTGGGTCTAAGTCGGATCATTCTGGATACTACGTGCCTACAGTAAACCTACAGGCCTACAAATTCTAAAACCAACCAACAAAAGCCAAGACTGACAACTACACCGCTGCTCAACGTCAATGCCACTCGAAAAAGCAACAGCCACACCAAGACAGACCACACCAAGTCTACAGTTACCGAGTGATTTAACAAGAATCCTATTATAAAAATACCCAAAAAGTCACATGGCCTGCTCCCAACGTGCAGCAGCTGTTGCTACCATCACTGCCTTCTCCATCTGTCCGGCCAGCCTCCTGGCCCTTGCCTCTCCCCTCCCTCGATGCACCTTCGCCTCCAGTCCACGCTAGCCAAAGGCCGAAACTCCAGCTCCCGCACTCTTATGGGAAACCACAAAAAGTTGCTCTTTTAGCTCAAAGCCAGAAGTCCAATGGAAAAATTTCATACTGCGCTTTTGCAAGTGTTAGTTCTTACCTGCAACGTAAATTTCATCTAGTTTTTCAGCAACTTTCTGTGGTAAACCAGCATCAAGCAATGTCTGAAAATTCTCTGAATGGATAACTGCAGAAGTAGTATCCATGGGCTCTTCAGTACCATTTCCATTAACATGTTCTGTAGCCATGTTTCCAGAGATCTGTTCAAACGCAATAAGCAAAATTAAACTAGGGTCTGCAAACGCGGGCGGCGGGCAGGGTGCGAGCCCCACGCCGGCCCTCGCCTCTCCGGCGAGCCACCCTCGGCCGCAGCCGCCCGCGCCGCCCTTCCGAGCCGCCTCGCTCCACCAAGCCGTCCTAGGGCCCGACGCGCCGGCCGCGGGCGAGGGCGAAGGCGCCGCTCTCCCCGGCCGGCCCTGACTCACCTGCTCTCACTCCCTAGGCGGAACCTCCGCACCAACGGGACCCGACCAACCACGCGGGCGGGCCGGCCCCGCGCACCGCCGCTCGGAGCCCGGGAGGGGCGCGCGCCGCGAGCACGCCACGCGGCTCCCCGCGCTTCCCCGCAGGGCCGAGCCTCCGCGGGCGCCTCTCCCGCTGCCACCGGGGGCACCTCCGCCGGCGAAGAACAAAAGCGCCCGCGCGAGCCACCTTCCCACCGCCCGATCCTCCGCCCGGCGCCCCCGCCCGCCCCCGCGCCGCGCCCCGCCGGGCCGCCGGGCGCCCTGGCAAACACGTGCTCGGCCGCCTTCAAATGCCCTACAACTTCCTTCCAGCGCGCGACCCGGACCCGCGAGCGCCCGGCCCGGCGCCCGCGCGGCTCCCCCGCACGTCGGCCCGAGCGCGCGGGCCGAGCCCCCGGCCAGGCGCCGCCCGGCCCCCCGCGCTCCCCCGCCCCCGGCCGCCGCCGCCGCCGCCGTGACACATGGCTGGCCGTCCCCGCCCGGGCGCCGGCGACCCCCGGCCGCCCCGTCGGGCGCGGGCGGAGCGGTGCCAGCCCCCGCCCCGCGCCCGTCCGCGCGCCGACTGCGGCGCCGGGCCGCCGGGCCCCGCACACACACCCCCACGGCGCCCCCGGGGCCCGACCCCGGGCCGGGGCCGCGCAAGCCCGGGAGCGGGGCCCGGGGCGGAGGGGGCCGCGCGGGCGTCCCGAGGACCTGCCCGGCGCGACGCCCGCCGCCGCCGCCCGGCCGGCCAGCGCCCCCGGGGCCCGGCGCGCGGCCGCGGGACGGGGCCCCCGCGCTCTCCGCCCACTCCCGCGCCGCGGCCGCGGCCACGACAGCACCAACTCCGCCGCCGCCGCCCCGAGCGGCGCAGACAAAGCCCGAACGGCGACAGCACATGGAGGGCAGGCGGAAGTGGCGCGCGGGCCGCGGCCTGCTCCCCGCCGCCCCGCCAACGTGCCGCGCACCCCCCTCGGAATCCATTTTCCAGAAAAGCCGGGTTCGCCCCGCGCCGCCCTCCCCCGCCGCCCCCCGCGCACGCCACAATGTCAGGGCGCCGCGCTCGCCTCCCGGCCCCGGGTCCCCGCGGCCGTTACCTCGCCGTCGGGCTGCGGCAGAGGAATCCTGTCCGAGGAGCTGCGGCTGCGGGAGACGCGTGCTCGCGGCTCCCTGTGTCCGGCGCGAGTGGAGCTGTTGTAAAATGGCGGCCGAAGCTCACGCCGCTGGCAGCAAACCCGATCCAGTTCCACTCGCCTCCGAGCGCGCTCCCGGTGCGCGCGCGCGCGCCCCCGCGTGACCCCCCTTCTCTCCCCTCCCTCGCGCGTCCGCCCCGCTCGCTCACTCCCTCCAGCCCCGGCCCTCCTCCGGCTCCTCCTCCTCCTCCTGCTGCTGCTGCTGCCGCTGCACCGCCGCCGCCGCCGCCACCGCCCCCGGCCGCCCCGGCCGCTCCCGGCGCCCCCGGCCTGGCCCCTGCCCCGTCCCCCCGCTCCTCGGCCGCCGCCCGCGGCCGCTCCCGCACGAGCGGCCCGCCTGCCCCGCGCCCGCTCCCGCGCCCGCCCCGCGCGCCCGTCCGCCCGCCGCTCTCGCCCTCGCCCGCTTCGTGGCTCGCTCCCTGCCGCTCCTCCCCGCCCTCCCTCGCCCGCTCGCTCTCAGCCCCGGCCCCCGTCCCTGCCGAGTCGGCTTCTCTCTTTCTCTCTCCCGCGCTGACGTGACGACGTCGCCGACGCCGCGGGACGCGCGCCCGCGGGCTCCGCCCCCACGCGCCGCCGCCGCCGCCGCCGCCGCCGCCGCCGCCCAGGCCCCGCCCCCGGCCGCCCGCAGGCCCCGCCCTTCCGCTCGGGCGGCGGCGGCGGCGGCGGCGGCGGCGGCGGCGGCGGGGCCGCGAGTGAATGAGAGGCCCGCCCCTTCCCCTCCCGACACTCCCCCCGGCGCTCGGCTCCGGCGGGGCGGGGCGGGGCGGGCCGGCCGGCCGGCTCGGCGCGTCCCACTCGCTCGCCTTTGTCAGGAGACGGGCCTCGCCCCACACCCCGCCCCGCCCCACCCCCACCGCGGCCCCACGAGCACGCCGCCGCCGCCGCCCGGCTGCCTCGCCGCGCCCCGCGCCCCGCGCCCCCGCCCGTCCCGGCGCCCCGCGGGGGCACGGGACCCCCGCCCCGGCCACGCGAGCGCCCCTCCCCGGGGACACCCACCGGCTCCGAGAGCGCCGGGCTCCGCGGCCGCGAAGCCCTCGCAGGCGGTGTCCACGCCGCCGCCGCCGCCCCGCGCTCTCGGCGCTCGGGAAGCTGCAGGCGCACGTGTCCCCCGGGGCGGGGCGAGGCAGACAATAGGGCGGCGGGGGAGGGGCCGGCGCGGACGCCCGCGGACCTTTGGTCCACCTGGCCGACGCCGCCCGGCTGCGGGAGCGGGCTGGGCGAGTCCGGTCCGCCGCCGCCGGCTCCGCGGGACCTCCCGGGGGACCCCCGCCGCCCCCCGCGCCCGGCCCAGCGAGCCCCGCGGCTGCTCCCGAGGGGGACCGGACCGGACTGGCCACTCGCCGGGGACCGGCCGCCCCGGGAGGCAGCGGCTGCCCGTGCCCGAGAGTTGTGCAATCCCGCCGCCCCCGCCCCCGCCCCCTCCGCCCCTGGCCTCGGGAGCAGTTGGAGCAACTCGGGCAGCCCGAGCCTGCGTGGGGGGGGGAGCCACGCTCAGGAAATCGATCGGGGTCCCCTCTTTTGGGGTGAAATCTTGGCGAGGGAACCTAGGTGAGACGGCATTCTCTTTAGGATCGTTTACCAGGGAGGTGAAAGACCAGACAAAGGCACTGGAGCTGCAGCGCGGGCCGGGAACTCCTTGTGTCCACTGCCGCTGTCAGGAGCGAGGGGACCGCCCCGTGGCTCGCGGAGCTAGTTGCAAAGAGTTCGCGGGCTGGGAAAGGAGCCCCGCGCGGCCACGCAGACCCGGTGGCGCGGTGGCGCGAGGGAGAGTTAGGGGGGCCCTCTCCGGAGGGCCTGAGCACAGCACGTCAGGTGCGTTTGTCCCGGGTACCTGCGTCGAAACGGATTCTTGGCTGAAGTGCCGTCTAGACACCTATCGACATGCGCTTTCCTATGGTAGTCAGCTAGTTCGCCACAGGAATGTCCATGATTTCGGCTTTCTGAAAGAGGGTGATACATGTTCTCAATGCAAAGCGACCAAAATGTTTGGTCCTGCAGATTGAAGAATGAAAATGATACCTTCGGACACTCTTTGCTCTAATTCTTTTTCCTTGGCGTGGAGGGAAAGGGGCTGTCGTGGGTAGGGGAGTGTGGTGGCGGTTGTCTTTGGGCTCAGGGCTTACTTCAGTCCTTCAGTGATCGAACCCTGGGTGGCCGCGTGCAAGGCAAGTACCTTACCAGAGCTCCGGCACCTCTAATTCCTTTTTCTAGCCAAACCACCTTGGAGTTTCTTAAACTGGGTGGGTGAAGACTACGTATGGGCTTACTTGACTTTTAAAAAAATTATTAAAAAAAAATTTAAGGGAAGTAAGCAGGGAGGCGCTTACCTTGCACGCAGATTACCGGGGTTTGATCCTCAACAAACCATATGGTCCCCCAAGCTGAGCAAGGAGTTAGCCCTGACTACAGTCAGCTGTGACCCCAAAACAAAATGAATATAAAAAGTCAATAAGAGGCATGCATTTAAGTATGAAATGTTATGACCAAAGCAATATAGAAACAAGAGCAAGAGAGTCTAGTGTATCAGAAAAAGGCGGGAGGTGTGTTAAGGAGAAGAATCAAATATGCCGAATGAATAAAAACTTAGATTTTTTTTTTTTTTGGAGAGGCAGAGGGGTCTTGTCACACCTGGCAGTCCTCATGGGCTATTTTCTAAGTTCCTCTTGGAGGGGAACCATGTATAGGGGGGAACCCAGGTGTCTTAAGTTTGGGGTAAGACAGAAACAGGAACATCATCTTTGGAAGAGCAGTTTTAGTAGTACCATGAAGGTGGAGACAGATTTGAATAGGCAATGTGAGGGGAAGGGAGGACATCTATTTGGACTGTTGCTCAAGACCTTTGAGAGAAGAGACTGGGAGTCTCAGTGGGAGAACATATTCCTCTCACATGTGAGGCCCTACCTCTGATCTCTGACATCAAAAATAATAATAATAATTTCTCCCACTTCACTACTCCTTAATAATTGCAAGATATTTCACATCATTATTGGAAGGAAATGTTGCAGTATTCCCCCAGGATATTCCAAGGTAGCCACAGGTGAAAATCATGTAAATGGTGGGGTGGGGTGGGGTGGGGTGGTGGGTCACAGCACAAGACTAGAGGAACAACAGGCAGGACTGCTCCACAGTAAGAAAACAGTCCAAAACAGGTTGGAAACTCCTGATTTAAACCGTGGTTTAAAACACCTGTCTTGCACGTCTGGTTATGAGATCAAATTCCTAATGTAACCACATGTGCCCACAGCAATCCTGGCAACTGTGTCTGCCATCATGGATCCACAAGCCATTTCGGGCTGCGCCTTTGTGAACATCACAAGGGGAGCAATGTATCTAGAAAGATCTATGAGCACCAATGCCAAGAAGCAGACCTTTGGCAAGACTATCACCTGTGCCTTCAGTACGGAGCACAGCTCCCACTGAGCAAGTGCAAGCATTTCAACTGAAGGGATGCAGGCCTTGATAAACAACATGGTCAATCAACACAACCTGCTGTGTGACCCCTGGCGAGCACCCCTACTAAAAATGAGGAAGCAATCACCAGTCATTGCAACAATGAAGGGCAAGAGGAGAGAGGAAAAAGTAATTTGAGAATTATGATTTTTCTCTTTTAGGTTTTTGGGCCACACTTGGTAGCACTCAGTGGCTATACCTGGTTCTGTGCAAAAAAGTGACCAGGGAACAACACGAGGCGCTGGGGATCAAACCCAGATTGGCAGCAGGCAAGGCAAGCACTTGAACCTCTGTACTATATCACTCCTAATTAAAATTTCTAAAAAAGTAAGACCGTTGGGACTGGAGCGATAGCACAGCAGGTAGGGCGTTTGCCTTGCACGCAGCCAACATGGCCGACACAGGTTCGATTCCCAGCATCCCATATGGTCCCCCGAGCACCACCAGGAGTGATTCCTGAGTGCATGAGCCAGGAGTAACCCCTGAGCATTGCCAGGTGTGACCCAAAAAGCAAAAAAAAAAAAAAAAAAAAAAAACAGGTAACACTGTTGACATCTACCCCTCAAACACAAAAACATCTGTGCTAAGTATACCAATAGATAGGGAATCAACCCAAATGACCAACAATGAATGTGCTACATAAACACAATGAAATACTATATAGCCATAAGATAAGATGAAATAATGCATACGCTAAAACATTCATGGAAGAGAGGATCTGTGTCAATGAAATAAGTCAGAGGAAGAAGACAAATAGAGGAAGATCTCTCTCATCTATGGAATATGGAAAAACTTAATCACTTAATCACTTAACTTCCCATTATTCGTCGATTTGCTCGAGCGGGCGCCAGTAACGTCTCCATTTGTCCCTGTCGCGTGCTAGTGTGGCCCAATGGCATCTGTTCGCTCCGGGAACATGAAGAGCCTCAAACTGATCGTTCATGATCTTGATGAAGAAGTTTGACCATCTGGTAGGTGGGCAGCCACGCGGTCTTTTGACATCCCGTGGAATCCAGTCAGTAACAGCTCTAGTCCAGCGGTTGTCTTTAAATCTCATTACGTGACCAGCCCATCTGATTTTTGACACCTTGGCAAATGAGACAGTGTCCCTGATTCTTGATCGTCGACGGATGTCAGAACTCCGGATTCTTTCTCTCATTTGAGTGAAACGTGATATTCCAAGCATAGCTCTTTCTATTCTTCTTTGGGAGACCTGAATAGCGTTCTCATCTTGTTTGCGTAGGGCCCAGGTCTCTGAGGCATATGTTAATGCAGGAAGAACAGTGGAATCAAAGAGATGTGCCCGGAGCCGGAGGTTCTTCGTCCTCTTAGCTATTTCTTCGACGTTCTTGAAGGCGTTCCAAGCTGCTCTCTTCCTCCTGCGCAGCTCGGGTGCCAGATCATTTGTCATGTTGACCTCTCGACCTAGGTACACGTAGCTGTTGCATTCGGAGATGGTCATTCCGTTGAGAGCGAATGGGGCATCAGGAACGAGGCTGTTTCTCATGAACATTGTCTTCGTAAGATTCAGCTGTAGTCCTACCTTTCCACACTCAC